GAAACATCGATGAGAGAGAAACATCGATCAGCTGCCTCCTGCACACTCCCCACTGGGGATGTGCCTGCAACCAAAGTACATGCCCCTGACCGGAATCGAACCTGGGACCCTTGAGTCCGCAGGCTGATGTTCCATCCACTGAGCCAAACTGGTCAGGGCTAAAAAATATACTTTTAAAAGCTCCATGAATTATCATGAAATAGACATGTTCATGTAACCACCACCAAGATTTAAAAATTCAGTTTATAGCACCTGCTGAATCCTTTCTCATGTCCCCTCACAATCACTACGCTTTTCTTCTCCTCCAAAGGTAATCCCTGTTCTAACACATTGCAATAAGGTAAGAAGAGAAAGAATATAGGGACAGAGAAAAAGAATTCTGAGATGTCATAATTATACATATAGAGAATCATAAAGAACCCAATGGAATAAATTATTAAACATCAGTGAGTTTAGCAAGGAAGCTGAATAAAAGCTGAACAAATCTGCCCTAACAGGTTTGGCGGGTGGATAGAGCTCGGCCTGCGGACTGAGGGGTCCTAGGTTCGATTCTGGTCAAGGGCATGTACCTTGGTTGTGGGCACATCCCCAGTGGGAGGTGTGCAGGAGGCAGCAGATCGATGTTTCTCTCTCATCGATGTTTCGAACTCTCTATCCCTCTTCCTTCCTCTCTGTAAAAAATCAATAAAATATATTTAAAAAAAATAATTTAAAAAAGCTTAACAAATCTAGCAAAAGACATGCCATCCCCTCTACAGAAAAGTTACAAACATAACTGAGAGAAGCTAAAGACCTTAATAAATTGTGGGGGTTAAACCATATTCATGGTCTATCAGATATTATAAAGATGCTACTTTAAAAAAAATAAAAACATATTTAAATTTAACATTTTTTAAAATATATTTTATTGATTTTTTAAAGAGAGGAAGGGAGAGGGATAGTTAGAAACATCGATGAGAGAAACATCAATCAGCTGCCTCCTGCACACCTCCCACTGGGGATGTGCCCACAACCAAGGTACATGCCCTTGACCGGAATCGAACCTGGGGCCCTTCAGTCCGCAAGCCGACGCTCTATTCACTAAGCCAAACCGGTTCAGGCATAAATTTAACATTATTTTAAGCCCCAATTGATTTATAGATTCACAGCAAGCAGATACGAGATTTATTAATGTGGCTTCATTTGTACCCCCAGGGTGACGGGAACTGGGGTGGGAGGGTCTAAATCCTCTCAGAGGATGAATAATCATCATCATTTTAGAGAGTCATATGGACCATATGTTTATATGCCCAAAAGTTCATGGGTTGAAGCCCTAATCCCCAGTGTGATGGTATTTGGAGATGGGGTCATTAGGAGGTAATTAGGTTTAGGTGAGGTCATGAGGGTGGGGCCCCATGATGGGATTAGTGCCCTTATAAGGTGAGGCACACTCTTTCTCTCCCCACCCTGTGAGGGCACAACAAGAAGGCAGCCATCTGCAAACCAGGAAGCAGGCTCCTATTAGACACCAAACCTGCCAGCACTTTGATCTTGGCCTTTGTTGTTTCAGCTGCCTGGTCTATGGCATTTTGTAATAGTGCAAACTGACTAAGACACAGAGAAAGAAAAAGGTCCAGAGAGGATAAATCATTTACACAAGGCCCTGACCGGTTTGGCTCAGTCTGCCTGCGGATTGAAGGGTCCCGGGTCACATATCTCTGTTGCAGGCTCCTCCCCGGCCCGAGCCCTGATCAGGGCTTGTGGAGGAGGCAACCAATTGATGTGTTTCTCTCACATTGATATTTCTCTCTGTCTTTCCCTCTCTCTTCCACTCTCTCTAAATAGCAATGGACAAATATCCTTGGGCGAGGATAAATAAATAAAGTAGTATCGCCCTAACCGGTTTGGCTCAGTGGATAGAGCATCGGCCTGTGGACTGAAAGGTCCCAGGTTCAATTCCGGTCAAGGGCATGTACCTTAGTTGTGGGCACATCCCCAGTGGGGGGCGTGCAGGAAGCAGCCGATTGATGTTTCTAACTCTCTATCCCTCTCCCTTCCTCTGTAAAAAAATCAATAAAGTATATTTAAAAAAAAAAATAAAGTAGTATCTTTAAAAAAAATCATTTACATAAGGGTACATAGTTAATGGGTAAAGAACCAGGATTGCAACAGATTCACCTCCTCCCAAGCCCCTTTTATATTCCTCCAAGAGCCAATGTGTTCCAGGGATAACTGGAGTCCCATTTTCCACCTGAAAAGATATCATCTCATTAAAGCGCAAACAGATGAACACTGTAATCCCAGGATCCCATCCTGAGGATCTGTTCCGTGAGGTCGCTCGGCACCAAGGACAACACTAGCCGTCAAGACCCAATCAACAAATAGCTGCCCTGGCCTGTTTGGCTCAGTGGATAGAGCATTGGCCCGCGGACTGAAGGACCCCGGGTTCAATTCCAGTCAAAGGCTGGATCCCCTTGTTTGCAGGCTCGATCCCCAGACCCGGGCCAGGGCCTGTGAGGGAGACAACCAATCGATGTGTCTCTCACATCAGTGTTTCTCTCACTGTGTCTCTCCTCCGTCCTTCCACTCTCTCTAAAAATCAATGGAAAAATATCGTAGGGTGAAGGTTAACCAAAAAAAAAAAAAAAAAGTTGGGAATGTCATTAAAATAAAGGAATTACAGTGGGGCCTTGACTTACGAGTTTAATTCGTTCTGAGACCGAGCTCGTTAAGGAGCTCGTTAACTCAAATTACTCTATCAACTCAATAAAAAAAATCGGCCGAGAGACAGCTGGTATCTCAAAAAACTCTTTAGTCGGGACACTCGTAAGTCAAGGCCCCACTGTATAAGATTGTGGAGATATTGCCCTGGCCGGTTTGGCTCAGTGGATAGAGTATCGGTCTTTGGACTTCGGGGTCCTGGGTTCGATTCCAGCCAAGGGCACTTGCCCAGGTTGCGGACTCGGTCCCCAGTGGGGGGCGTGCAGGAGGCAGCCAATCAATGATTCCCTCTCATCATTGATGTTTCTATCCCTCCCTTCCTCTCTGAAATCAATAAAAACATATTAAAAATTTTTTTAAAGCAACTACATGTTAAAAAAAAGATTGTGGAGATATTAAATTTATAAAAAAACAAAACAAAACAACAACAAAAAACACCCACAAATAACTACTTTGAACACTTAAAATAGACTTTGATGTAAGGGATTGGCTGCACAGGTGATGGAAGGCCCGAAGGCCGAAAGGAGATGTGAGGGGAGCCACAGATTAGCAGCAGCAGGAAGCCACGACCACCTTGGGATGGAGGACAAACAGAGGAGGTGGTGCCGCCGGAGTTAAGGGACTGAGTTCACCTGCTGGAAGCAGGAAGCACGGCAGGTCCGTCCAGGAAGAGCCGCGGCCACTTCAGAGAAGCACCCTGAAGCAGAGGCCGCGGGGCACGCCTGCCGGTCCCCGCACACCACCCCACCTCCTGCCCGTGTCGTAGAGGAAGCCACGGAACACCACTGTCCTTGTGGCCATCGTAGCGCCATCGTGGCCCATTGCAGCAGCCACTGGATCCCCCGTCACTCACTCCAGCTGGAACTGCATCCCTGCCAGCAGGGACGGTGATACATCACCAGGGTGCCGCTGCACAGGGTGGGTTACTAGCACCCCATTCCTTGTTGGCCAGGAGCGCACCACTGTGTGTGAACCCTGAAAACGAACTAAACCGCCCCCCAAACCCCACCCTTGAGAATCTGCCCCGAGTTGCCCACAGTGGCGTCAGTCACGGTATCTTCAGGAGACAAAAAGCACACCAGTTATTTTAACAGACGGTGTCACCCAAAGAAACGTTACAGGAGTCACTCCC